GGGCTGTCTCTACCTATCGAGGAAGGCACCCACTCAAAACTGCCTAATGCTAGAACGACAAAACCACACACACACACATGCACATTTATATATTGAACATTTGATGAATTCTTAAAACAGTCGGTAGTGTAGCGCGCGACAACACACGCTCGGAGTTGGTAATAACGTAATCTCGCAAGGGTACGCCGGTGGCGCTGCCGATTTTAGCCGTCCCAGTGTTGCCTGATTTGCCCACGTTGGCGCTGATGATCAACCGATGGTGGCGCTCTCTGGATGGCGACTTCGTTGCTGCGCGTCGCGACGTGCTCCGAGTTTCGTTTCGCTTGGCAACTTGCGGCCTTTTTTTACCTTTTCGGCGAGGATCCAACGATTGATCATTCCTCTACAGAGTTGTCTTGGGTGACTGAAGTGATGTGTGCCCATTTTACCTTGGTCCTTAGGGGAGATATCTGCAATGACTTTACCGTTTATTTTTGGGAATTTTTATTATCATTCCTCAAAAAAGTTGCTTTCAGAAGACCACACAACCTAATTAGACGTTTCACCCGTAATGGTCTTAAATCACTTAAGCACTTTTCAGAATAAAAAAAAAGATGCACGAGGTTTATAAATGTTTATAAATTAATTTCTTTCGCAGTTCCACACATCAGACTGAGCCCTGTAAGAATTCTAAAAATACAGTACGCATGCATGCATACAAATGAGGACATGAACGAGGAAAATATTGATGGTTTAGAAGCCTGGCGATTCGACCGAACTAAATGGCTCTACCGTAACCACTTCATTAAAAGGGAAGAAAATGTTAAAAGCTTGCAATTACGAAGCCCGGTTCTTCGGCAGGAACTTCGGGGTTGCCTTGTAGCTGACTCTTCTTCGCCCAGCTCACGTGACAGAAGATCTTTATTAGCTGTACGGTCTACACATCTTTAAAAGAAAGCCTCTAGAAGGTACCATCTAGAAAGCTTGTGCGTAGCGTATGGCGCGTGTTTTCCTCGCTTTCTCAGGCGACGCACACGCCCGTGCCGGCCTGTGGAGCAGCACACGCTGGGCTGTTGCTTCGAACGCCTTCATGTGCGCTTTGCTCAGGGTGATGACATCGGACCATTTGGTTCCTGACGCTTTTGTTCCTCTTTAGCTCCCGAGCAAGCGCGTCTCCGGTCGCCACGAGCGCTGGGCATTGAGTGCTACGGCGGTAGTTTGTAAGCGGCTATTTGTGATTTTCTCGTGAGCGCGCGTGCTGGCGGCATCGGGTACTACAATCTTTTTATTCGTAGTTCTTGGCTTCCAATAAACGTTTTCTACCTACCTAGCTACAATGTCATCAGTCATCACCCTAAGTAAAGTGCACACGAAAAAAAGAATCCAGACAGATGATGCGCTACAGAAAGAGGTCCTGCACTGGCTCCAGCAGCGGCCCAGTTCTTTCTACGCCAAAGGCATCAGGGGGCTGCCGAAACGATGCATGTGGTGCCTGGGCACTCACGCGGAATATTTTGTAAAGCTGACTTAGTTGGATGCGTGTCGAATTTTCCATTTTCTCTGTAGGAATAAAATATCTGCTTAATGAGAAGCCACAATTTTTTTACGTGCTAGAGGTCTTCAGGTAAAGCTTTCTGAAACGCAAATTTTATGTCTACGGTTAGAAAGACAAATAATTATTGACACACAGAATCTCTGTACACAAAATGTTTATTTGTTCCGTAGTCATCACCAAAAGTAATTCTTACCATACAAAAAAAAAATAATAAAGGGTAAGGTTCAACAAAGGACGCAGTTGAGCCAACAGATCAGTGCCAGCGCACAATAGGCTAATAGTACAGTGGCCCAATTTTTTAATGATATCAAGCGAGCGTCGACCACGGGACTGCCAGTGCATGCCGCCCTGCGGGACGGCCAGTGCCGCGGAAAAATGCGGCGTCACGGGAGAGATTAATTGCGTGCGCACAAAGCCCTTTCTGGTGGGAGCGTCGTCGGCTAGGCTATTCCGGTGACCGCTCACAGCCCCTGCTCCGTATCAGGGCGCTTGCAATGTCGAAGTGCATCGCCGATACGCCCCTGCTCTTGAAATGCATTCAAAATCCTACTGACGTTAGCCTGTAATCCCGACTGTTTCTATATCCCTTTGCGTCATGCCGCCCATCGACATTCTCACAACACGTTCCCGTGTTTTTATGGGCCCTCGAGGAGGCATAAAAATGTATGCGCGTACCCGCTTGTCAAAGCAAACTGACTACCGGGCTACACAGTCTAGATGACGACAGCAACAACGCAGTTAATAATACAAAACACCAAGCCCAAGCGGAAACCCTGTCTATACTCCGTTTCACTTTGTGTTGTACCGCAGCCGACGCTACGAGTTATCTTGTCCAGTCCATCACTAAAAGTGAGTCACGTGGCCTTCCCGTTGAGTACAACTGCACGGGGAAGCACGATGTGACGTGGCGGGGTCAAAGCACTGGATTGATTTTGATGCCTCGTATAGAATTGTCTGCGACAATGCATCGTTGCATTGTCGCGTCACCGTGTTTTTAAGTTTTGTTAGCAAACATAAAATCAACGAAAAGAAAGCAAATGAAACACGAGATGACACGCAGTTTTTGCCACGGCCACGCCTGAGCACTATCACGAAAGCAAGCGCTGTTCGTGTTCAGATCTTTGCTTAAAGGCGGTTAGCTATGCCGGCAGATAATGAACAGGGGCTGTGTGCGGTCCACGGAATAGCCTAGCAAACGACGGTCGCAACAGAAAGAGCTTTGTGCGCGCACGCTTTATCTCTCCCGTGACGCCGCATTTTTCCGCGGTACAGCGCTGGCCGTCCCGGCGGTCGACGCTCGCTTGATATTATTAAAAAATTCGGCCACTGTACATGCACCTCCCTTTTAAAGGGAAGATGGGGCACTTCTGCATTTGAGAAAAAAAACACACTTGTATGGCGTTCGTTTGGCCTTTAAAATAACAGATATCACGATTATGTTTCATTGCGACGCGCCGGAGAGCCATAAGAGCAATTTCAAAATAGGGCTGAAGCCCCGCCTCTCTCGCCCGCCTTGGGCAGCCAAAAGATCCGTCGATGACGTCCCGTACAGCGACTGTGTTTCGCGTTTTCTCACGTGTAACTATACTTCCGCAGCAAATGGTTTGGATATGAGGGTTCACGGGGTAAAAATACATCAGAATCCACTTCTTACTCATTTTTTTTTCAAGAACCTATATACCTTCCCTTTAATGATACAAACTCCCTTTTAGAGACAGTCAGATGAAACAACCCGGTTTCAGTGAAGATAATAAGCAAGCTGCATCTCCTATGCCTTGAGGAATGTCATAGCAGGCACGCACGGTCACACATTTAGTGCAGCCAAAATCTATCAAAAATGATATCTGGCTTAATGGTTACATATCTCACGTGTGCACTAAATAAACACGAATCCAGTCCTCAGCGCGGTTACGGCGCTAACGCTTGCAGTTCTAAGCACGCAGTGCTGTCTGGATCCGAGCGAGCCCAAGGCAAAACGATAACTTGCTAACAATGTAGCGCTGCGCATCGAAACTTACTACCCAACTCGCTGAAACACCACCACCACTCCGATCTACTCTGATCCCGCCACTCTGTGGATGTCCCCCGAACTATTAAGTAAGGAAAAAAACTTATAAATTGAATGAAATATTCAATTTATATGAATAAACTGCCGTGGATCCTTCAAAGCATGCAAAATAAGCCAAGAGCACAACAGTCCTCCATTGAAAATCCGCGAGAAACCCCTCTGTCAGTTTAGCCAGTCGCCCACCGGGAGGAAAAGTTCGCGGTGCTCCACATAGATGGCGCCACAGAAAGAAAAAGCTAGGGATAAAACCGAGGGAGGACGCAATCTGCTCGCTTATTCGGCTCTTATTTCCCCACTTGCCTATCTTACACCCTGGTTGTAGGTCACCTCGTAGTAGAAGTGTACCACGAAATTGAGAAGTTTCAAGATACCAAAATATTTCTTTCGGTATTTTGAACCTATCGCAGATTGAACCTTTCCTATGCGCAGTTTGTTTATCACTTATCTAGAGCGGTGTTCCGTGTTCGGGAGACTCCTGCCATTACGAAGCTTTCCCGCAAAGGACAGGACTGCTTTCGAAAGCTGAACATAATCTAATAAATTCTGAAATAAAATACTAAAAAATCGACTAAGCCGATTTTAAAAGGCACGACTTGAGACAAATCACAACCACCAATGCACACGACTTACCACAGTATCGCAGTTTACAATACCATAGCGATTTTTCTTGGAAACTTTTACCACAGGGTAGAGGCGAATGTGCAAGCACAGTCCCTCTCTCGAAGGTTGCTTCTTCCCAAGCACGCGGGTGGGCTGCGGCGAAGCGAGATTGTAATGTTTAGCGTCATGGGCGAACTTCCTCCGCACAGTTCGAAGCCCAACTGACAAGTTTTGTCAATGTTTTATGCAATGATCGAACCGGATAGTACGGTATTTGAAGCAATATTGAGCTCATTAAGATTTGAACAGGCCTACCGCAACATGAAAGGAAGGGATCAGACAAGGTCCTGAACGAGTCATTGGTATTACAATCAAGAAAGAAATAGGATTTCTCACATTTTGAAAAATTATGTTAAATCAGCCTCAGCGGGCGTCTGCTTTCTGCTGTAGACGAGAAATTTAGCCAGTGAAGTACCGCCGCCAGCCTGGGATCTTCAATGGGCAACATACTGTGGTGATACGCGACCGCACGCCGGTGCCAAGCTCATCCAAATGGAAACGGGCAGGGGAGTGGATTGGACCCATGGTCCCCGGGTTCCACAGTGCAAGTTTACAGCCCACATGCTCCGAGCTGCATCACGTTTTTGGCGAAATGCAACACAGTGTACGGGGGTAACCACTTGACAAAGACCTTCGTCCGACAGTTGAGAACCAATTTAACGCAGCAAGCACATGGACAATCTTGAGGCAGAGCAGGTCGGCCGCAAAAAGTGACAAAGCCAAGGTACGAATGAACAAACTTTTAATTGCGAATCTGTACAGTAAAAGTGAAGAACGACAGTTCCGAGACTGCCGAATAATTTGCAGTGTTTATATAACAGCACGAGACTTATGAAAAAGGTACCCCGAAAAAGAAACACTTTGAACAAAAGCGAGGTCAATGTAGGACGGGGACACATCTTGCGAGACTAACAATATTGAATACTCTGGGAAACTCTGATAATATATGCAACTTGATGTAGCGGGTTCATGCAGCACGGTTAAATAAGACTCAAGTGCACGCTAGGGTGAGGTATGGCAGTGGAAACTGGCACCATAGGTTTAGCTTTCCATTAAAAAAATGCTATCAACAGAAAAAATACCAAGAAGCACATTTTGACAAGAACGAGTTTGGAAGTAGTGATCACTTTCACTGGGATCCAAGGCAAAGGAAAAAAGCGCTTGCAGAGGCTACACAACTAAACAAAGACAAACCCAATACAAGAGATGAGCTCTTACTCTACACCTTCGAAGCATGCACTGCAATGATGGATTGCAGTGCATGCTACGAGAAATCCCAGCCAATACAGCACTGGATTTTCTCCGATGGCTCGTAGCAGCTGCTGTGGTCCACCTCAAGTTGGAAAGGATAAAAAAAACTGCAAATTCCATGTCAAACAGAGAAACTAAATGGGACTCTACGTCCAACAGTCGAAAAAGGTTTCTGTTGAAGAACTTCGACAGTTACGTTGTATTAAGAAGCTTGTAAAAAAATCTAGCCGGCAAAACATCGAGCAGTTCACACAGAGTGTAACCAGAAACTTTGGCAAAAAAAATTTAGGATCTAAACTCACTGCCATGATTGCGGAGGAGGTGAAATGGTATTTGTATCGGCAGTGCAATTACCTTGGCAATTATTAACATCAACGACTGCGCACAAGTGTACACACCCGAGAACTCTGCAACTGCTAAAATCGCGAGTGAAGGGAAATGATTGACAAGATCCATATTCCCCTGACAAAGAAAATCTAGAGACTAACCCCAAACAACACGTTAGCCTTGCCTGCGATGTTTTTGATTAACATACATCATTGAACAACCAGTGCAACCACTAAACTGTACAAACGCAGCAATTTCAACTGGGCAGTTTAAAAACCAAGCATAAATATGGTGCTCCGATGTAACACACAATAAATTCAAACAAAATTGTGAAAAAAAGGTAATTTTTTTTTTGTTTGCGAGGTCAAACAAACAGACATTTCCGAAGACATCGATCAAAGTCAAAATATCCATAATCAAGTGCACCAAAACACTCTGCCCGCATTCCAATAAACTGCAGGACAAAGTCGCGTCTGCCGTAGAACAGATTAACCCCCGTGTCGCCCACGTAAAAAAAAAAGCAACCTGCTTTTTTGGTAAAAAGCACTTCACAGGTACAGTTGGCAAACTAAGAAATATGGTTCACAAGGTACTTATGTTGTTCTTGGTACGACCTGCGCTTATAATTGCAACACACCGGAGTCGACTTGCCCAAAAAACTGGCCAAAAATTCTTAGCGAAACCAGAGCTTCAGAAACTGCTGCCAGGGCTGCAGAATGATGTCCTCCCGAAACCTATTGCAGTGATGTTGCAGTTACACCCTTTTTCTAAAGCGATTAAGGTTTAAAAACTGAAGGTTTTATCTCCAACACAGGAAAAAGGTTTGGAAAAACCATAGCAAACACCACGCAAGGTTTGCTGCAAGTAATGTTGTTCCCCTGTCCACAAAACTAAACGAACAAGCACTACACTACGAACAAGACAACACTTTAATGTAACATGTAGGTTACATGCGTCATGAAACGACAGCAACAAAAGCACGCACACAAAGGGGTTAGAATATGAAGTTAACAAGTTACAGAAATGCTTTAGACAGGTTATGTGGGGACACGTTAAGCTATTTTTTTTTCTTTCTTTTAAGGATAAAACAACTGCAGTCACAAACAGGTGGGTCAAGAGAGAAGTACAGAGAACGGCAAAAGGAATACAACCAATAAAATAAATGGCACTAAGGTTCCGCCACTCTAATGACTTTTTTCATTTTTTTCTTGCCTCTTTACATCACGCAGCAGCGGTTGGGCTCGTTGGGATCCTGCGAAGGCCGCAAAAAGCAAAAGTTAATGTGGGAAAAAAAAAACTCACGTAGTCTATTTTTACGACAGACTGCCATGACTGGAGTTCGTCGGAATTCCTGGGATGGTGGCAGTATATAACCGGAAGCAAAGCGCCGGCAGAACATGGGCCAAAGTAACACCTACCGACAAGGAATGCATGCTCTCATGAATATTAGAGCAATCAAAAAGTTTAAAACATGTTGCTATGCACGATGTCCAACATCGCTGCACCAACACCAACACCATAGCCACTCGCAGCCCAAGAAATGCAGAATGGCTTATTCAAAGCTTTCGCAAAAGCGAAATCTTGAAGGAAAAAAAGAAGCATCTCCTTTAGGTAAGGTAGCTAACCCTCGTTTGAGGACGAGGGTCGGGTATGACAGGCCCTACAAAGTTCGTGAATTTCACGGCGTGCAACGAGCCTTTGCAACATTAACGCGTTTTCAAAACAAGGACAACAACCCTAACCGACCGATCTCTCCAAGTGTTCGGCACATGCGCGACGCCGTCAGAACTTTAGTTGGCGGGAGGCAGACGGCGGTGCAGGGGAGGGCTCGCGCCGTCTGGACGCTGCGCACGGGCAGAGTTCTGGAGAAGCTGTCGTCTGTGCTGACAAAGTTCACTCGATGCAGTGAAGTCATACTGTCCGGCCAGATCGGTCTATTACAGTAAAAGCTCGTTAATCCGAATTTTGAGGGGGCTGCTGAAATAGTCCGAACGATACAAACTTCCAATTGATGAAAGTCAACGAAGAGAAAAGAGCCCCGTCCGGCGTTGGGTAGACTAGAATGCTCTCAACCGCCAGAGGCGTGCAAGTCTGCTGCTGCGGAGACCGAAATGCCAGTTTAGACAGCACGAACCAAAATAATCAAGGCCTGCCAACAGCCTCCTTGGATTAAGTCCACGCAAATTTATCGCGCCCGGATAGCGCCCGCTCGGCAACTAGACCCCAGCAATAGCTCGCTGCGACGTCGAAATGCTGGCACACGGGCTTTGAACACTATAGGTGGTGTTGCTTTATTCCTCCAAAACTGGGTGTATCAAACATTCTAAACTTGATGAACCCCTATTGGTCCTGGCATTAAAGGTGCGCTAAACCGCTTTCTACGGTAGTCTAAATGCCAACTCAATCTACAAGCAGTAAACGTACTTAAGAATAAATTACATTTATGTGTAGCAGATTAAAAATAGTTAAAATAGGTATCAAAGGTCAATTATCTCAGAACTATCACACGCCGGAGGGCAGTCGGAAAAAAAAATAAGCTCCTGTCCGACGGCGGCCTCTGGTGTTGGTGATAGTTCCGGGGTAATCAACCTTTAATACCGATCTCAGAGGAATCGCCACGCATGGAAATGATGTTTGGTTTCTTAGCACGCTTAGAGCCCATAGATTGAGGTAGTGGTCATAGACTATCGCGGAACATGATTTAGTGCCCCTGGAATGTGATGAAGCAGTAAACAAGCCTACAATGTAAACAATACATGTATAAGCGAGCGTTCACCTCATTGTCACGCGTCAATTAGTTGGTTGGTTCTGCCAAAACAAGTCTTAAAATGGAGAACAACTACCAGGCGCGCTTTCACGTGCTGTACCAACAAAGGGCATCTGTCACGTCCCTGCGGATAATTGAGGATTAATTTCGATCACCGGGGGAAGCTTTCAAAATGGAACCACCCCGACCGGAATTCAAACTTGCTGGGGCACTTTGGGCAAACCCTCCTGGGTCCCCGGAACCCAGTTTAAATATATATATGCTCTTAGAAAAAGTTTCCAATTGTTTTAATTAATTTTTCTTTCCTGTATAGATTAAGAAGTCATGCCCCATTGAAGAAACCGAAGGAAAGAAGAGGTACTCACGTGCTCGTGGAAAAGGGGCTCACGCCCCGTCGAATATCCTCCCGCGCCGGACGACCTTTCCGAGAGGCGCGTGAACTGACGCCGCCGGTTTTCCCGAAAGGCCACCTGGGGGCGCAACGAAAGTGAGCGTCAACTCGTCAGCCGTAACATGCCGCAGGAGCGCTAGAGTTCCGGTTACACTGCTAATTCATGATAAAAAATAGACTTTGCAATTAATGCACTGCCTCGTCACGTGGGTCATAAAAACATTGTCTGCAGACACGTTCGAAGCATGCATATGTGTTAAAGGTGCTTCGAATGTGCTCGAGGCCTGCCTGCAGGTAATTTTCAAAATGTGTGCTGCGGAGTGTCATTCGTATCGTGCTCGAGCAACGGGACTGCGGCCGAGAGCTTCAATGCGGCCGAGAGCTTCAATGCGGCCGAGAGCTTCAATGCGGCCGAGAGCTTCAATGCGGCCGAGAGCTTCAATGCGGCCGAGAGCTTCAATGCGGCCGAGAGCTTCAATGCGGCCGAGAGCTTCAATGCGGCCGAGAGCTTCTTTGCGGCCGAGAGCTTCAATGCGGCCGAGAGCTTCAATGCGGCCGAGAGCTTCAATGCGGCCGAGAGCTTCAATGCGGCCGAGAGCTTCAACATGACAACATAAGAAATTCGAGGGTCATTTCCATAGGATTACCGCAGCAAAGAAGCCGCTTCGCAAGGTCACCGCCGCAAGTGTACGACCGTGAGTACACCTACGAAAGCTCATCCCCTAAATGCAGAATCGCGTGCACAGGTGCCGACATCGAGGTTTTTTAGGACTTTAGCAGTTTTATTTGCAGCATTTCACATTGGTGGAACATAAACTAGGTTTGTACTGCAAGTGCTGAGAAGTATTCAATACAGGGTGTCTAGCAAATTATTTTGAAATCCCTTGACTTTTTCAGGTTTTCCCAGACAAATTTAGGTGAAATTCCCTGACCACTGTAGAGGCGATTAAATATATAAGACCATTACAACACAAGGTATTGAGCATTGAGCAGTGTGAGGATCATTTTGCATGGGCTTAATCCAACCTTCATCTTAAAAAATATCTGGGTTCGTCCTGTCTGGAATAAATGAGCCCTTTCTTGCCGCGGACATCGTCAGTGAAGAGCCCACTTCCAGAAACACGATGAAAACACGACGCTCAACCACACACGCCTTGTTACTAACAGAATGGCAGCACGGCCGCCAAATGGACACTTTTGGATACCTCCGGCTTGTATTATATTGGGGTCTGCGGCTTTCCCATTTGTTACTAAATCAAGTAGCTCTAACTAGATTTAGCCTAGTGTCGTGCCCTCAATATAATCCAACCCAATCCAAGGCTTCGACTGGGTTTGCCGGCTGTTCCCTTTGCATCGGGTAGCACACTCTACATCGGGTGAGCAGTGACCGTGCTCCGCTCTAAGCAGAATTTATTGCCCATTTTTCTGCACCCAAGTCTTCAAGTCTGCTCAGGGCACTCAATGGCGTTTGCGGCTCGTTTTCCCTGACTGGGCTCGATATTTTACAGCATTCCTAACAATTAACCGAGTTGTCCTGGTAATTAAAATTTCCCTGACAATTCCCAATTTTCCCAGTCGCTAGACTACGTGTGAATAGAACTTTACTGTGCAGTACCTGAAATTGTACAGGGAGATTTTTTATTTATTTTGGGAAAAATTTTTATTAAAACTAAAGTGGCACGACTCTCGATCAATAATGCTACATGCACCATACATCATAGCATGTATGATGTATGATGCAACGACACGATGGTTAGGATTTATGAATGTGTACATTGAATCCATCGGATGGACGAATGGACAGATACGGCTGAACCAAGGAATCTGGCAGCAGCTTGCGCCACCTGGTATATAAAATAGCCAAGGTTGTCGACAGAGTTCACTTTCTGCTAAATCTAGCGCCACCGTGATTTTTTGCAGAGCGTAGCGTAGTTTGTCAGTTTCACGCTTTTGGTGCCGCTAGGCGCAGGAAATTTGAATGTATCAAAATGGCACAATTGGTGCAGCTGTCCCGCCCCTGCAAATAGAGCCCAGGGACAACTAGAAAAGTTTTAAAGCACTATATGGAGATAGACAAAATCACAGTAAAATGTCAGCCCCTCAGAACAGCAACCAGACACGGCAATAGAAATGTCGGGAAGAGCTCATTGTAAAAGCCACTCCTGAACTACATGCCGACTGAAGAAAGACACAGCATGAACACGTGCAAATGGTTATTCTGGGTTTCGAATCAAAGATAAATCAAGCAGTGTTCACCAAAAAGGACACAATACCACAATTCAAAGGGAAAAACAAAGCTTGTACCCTCTAAATTCACACATCGATGACATCTTACATGCAAGTGTCTTATGAATAACTATTTTCTTTTCTGCTACCGTGAAACCCTTTATTTTCGCGGCCCCGATTTTTCGACAATTGGACTGCGGGGTCATATTCGCGACCATTAAATTTCGCGATTTCTCAAGGCTGGAATTTACCTATAGAAACCACTAAACTAAAACCACTAAAACCAATTTTACAATTCGCGTATTTCGCAAAAATTAGAGGCTCTCAAACATTAATGGTTTAACAGTATATGAATAACAAGGCTAAAAGCTGCTTAACAGGTTTTCACACAAAATCAACGTGCGGGCAATACATAGGCTCTTCTAAAGAAAGCTCTAGATGATTTAGTTTTAACTTTACTGGCACGTTTTCGAACAGATGGAGGAGGCCTATTAAAGGTGGTAACTGAACGAGCAACTTTACAAGTAAATTACACCTATAGTGCAGCCCAGCTACAATGGCAAAACACTAAACCGAAGGCGCTCACCTCCTCCCCATCAGCGCTGAGCAAGGCAGTGCGCATCTGTTCAACGTGGGGCCACTGCTGGTTGCGCATGACCAGGTCCGACGGAGGGCTGTGTGCTGCACCGGCGTCGGAGCTCCATACCTGCACAGCATCCCAGCTTCGGATGAGTCGTGGTCATCTCACCGCAAAGGAGGTATACTAAAGCAAGAATGTGGGCAAGCTGGTTGAAAGAGAAGCTAAAAACAGTTCTTTAAGAGAAAAAAAAAACAAAAAAGCTGAATGTTTTAATGTAGGCATTTTAAAGATTATGTATAAGTTTTCTTTCGATCTTATTACTAGGAGTGTCAAAATCTCTAATTAAAATTTCGACGTAGCCCTGCCCGTCGTTGCATGCGGAGAGCAGGAGGGCGTGAAGGCGGATAGAAAAAAATTCAGGAATCCCGCGTTGATCCACAGTAGAGTCGCAGCGACAGCCACGACACGACATGGCGAAGTTGTCGGGCACTGGCGTCGCGTTCAAACACCGTGGGGTGCGTGAACAAAAGCGTACAAAACGAAATAGGCATCCGATTATTTTATTTTGAAAAACGCTCGTATCATTTTTGTTCCGGATAGCGTAAAAGCGCTTTCCCCTGCACGAGCTCTTGGCATTGACAGTGCTACAACCGCCTTCTGTTATCGGCTATTTTTTTTTTCTTTTCCAGAGAGCGCGTGCGGTGGGTGCTACAAAAGCCTCCGGTATAGAGCGGGTTGTTGATGCTGTGGCATCAACAACTCCGCACGGAGCGAACCCGGGTTTGATGCCCGTGGGCGGCGAGCAATCTTTTTGAAGATTTTGCAGCACTGGTGACGGACGTCCAACATTGCCAACAACAACGGACGTTATGTCAAGTGGTGGCAAGAGCCCAGAACAGTTATCGCTGCGAGACTAACCAAAGGGACGTCGTCGGTCAAATGACTCTGCTCGGCACTGTGCAGAAGGACGACTATAACGTCGCAATGTCTTCGACGGATAACAGCTGGCGGCAAGGCTCGCCGCATGCCCTACGGCAATCGCTGCGCACACATCTGAAAATATATGGGGTTTACGTTTACTTCAGTCCAAAAGCGCGATGACTGAATTCATGGGGCAAAAAGCTATAGTAGAAGACCGCTCCAAACATTTTTTTTTTAAGGCGCTTCTGCTTTTTTGAGAAGGGCATAATAAATCCTGGTGCGAGGGAAAGGACGGACAAAGAACACACTCAACTCCCAAGTTTTTTTGTTTGTCCTTCGTCCGGTGTTCGGTCTTCCTTGGCCAGTCTTCCCCTCGCTCGGATTTACGGTGTCTGCCTAGTCTGTTTACGAGGACGAAAACAAAATGTTATGGTAGGGTTTCTATTGAGACTTCAATTTCCACTACCAGCACTATGGGCTTATGATATAAGGCAAAGTAGCGATTTGCTATAGGAATAGCTACACATACCAAACAGATTTTACTTTCCTCAACCCAGGCCAATGTAAAGCAGGCACACGCATAAAGAATTGGTCAAGCTCAAAGCCAATAGCGGTTTTGGCAGAATAATTTCTAACCGATTATCGGATAGTTTCTTCGAGCCTTTTACTAGTGATGGACCGAATCTGCTCAACTTCAGATTCGGCAAAGTTCGGCAAAGATTCGGCAAAACTTCGGAAAATGTCTGCGCACGCGCGAGAACGCGACGGAGGCTTGAATTGCAAATGGACGCTGTGCAGTCGTGCGGTTACCATCGTGCAGTGTAGTACAACCAGCGGTTACGCCGCGGTGTGGGGTAGGCAACACGGTAACTGTGCGTTTGTGACCGAGTGTGGTCTTCTTCAATATTTTCTGCCTCAAGAATAGAAGATCGACCAGTAATTTACGCAGTCCACTGCGCAAGTGACGAATGATGCCATGCATTCTGAAACATAGACATTGTCCGACAATTACTTTAAACACTCCTCGCAATTATAACAATTCTTTTTTCGGCTAAGGATTAGTATGTTGCAAAACAAAACATTGCTTCTTCAATTAGTGTTATTTTGCAATTTTCAGGTATCCGCATAAAACTAAACACAGAACTATAGTGCTCGACGTTGCACGTCTGACATTCACTCTCCCTATCTTCCGAAACGTTCGTGTATTCCTAAACACCAGAAACACGTATTTTAAAGGTTAAAAACGAGACGTTGTGAATATGGGACGCACACTTTCATGCAAAGCTGACTTCAAGTGACTCAGCAACCGTTGCAATCGTTTTCCCGCACAAAACGGTGGCTCCCAGAGAAAGCAAGAACGCAGCGTTATTGCCTTCATTTTAGCAATGTACACACACACGCCGGCTTGCGCTGATGATACCTTAAAACCGAAACTCGTAGCGTTATTCGTGACTGCGCCACGCTCGCTTCTACCCAACGTCCCTGTCACGCCACACCTCCAATGAGTCACGAAAATTGCCAGTAAACACACAAATACAACATATAATGCATATAAGCCCAGTTATTACTAAATAAGATGATATTCTACAAGATAATTGTATCGGTGTCGTTTTTAAGCTAAGAAAGAAAACTTTTTTGCCAAGAAAAACTAAATATCAACGCTAAGCCTAGTAACAATGTATCGAATCGAAAGTTCGGCACCGAACTTTCGATTCTTCAAAAGTTTGGCCCATCACTACCTTTTACTACCGTTTTACCATGCTTAAACGAAAATTCAGCTGAACTCGTGAAGGTTATTAAAATTAAACCCAAAGAGACGCCCAGCCATCCTCAGCGAGCGAATTTATAAATCAGCTTGATGGACACAAATATTCTTCGTTTATTCTCAATCTTCCACAAAGAAAAAATAATAAATAAATAAATAAACACGATTATTGAAAGCAGATTGTCAGGACTAATGCCTGCGCTTCCCAGCGAACATCCGCGTACAGCGGAAAACCAATGCTCGCGAGATTCGCGGGTACTGCTTTTCCGCAGCACCCGGGTGCTTGGCAAGGAGTGCCCTCAACGGGGCCAGGCCCACTCCCGATGAACGAATGGCACAAATTAAGCGCAAACTCCACTTGAATTAAGCAGCTTAAAAATGCATCGAAAACATGGCGGGAAAAGCAAAATATTTAAATGTGTCCGAAATAAAAGTGAGTACGAAAATTTCTAGCTTGAATTATCGCGAGACCACTGTATGCACCGTTTCACTGCGAGTCCTACCACAGCCGACGCGACGATTTGACGAAGACAATCGAGCAGAGCCAAAAACGCGCCGTTACACCACTCGTCTTCGTGGATACGCCATCACCAACTTAACCAATCGCAAACATAAAAAAAAGGTGGGACCTCGTCGCATCCACTGCACGCGATTCGTGTAGCCGACGATGGCAGATGCGCAAAGGCAACAAGTGCAGGGACGACGCGTTTCGGGCGGTGCTCAACCGCTCACTGTAGGACGGTAGCGCAGCCTGTGGTCGGACTTAAAGAGAAACGGAGTACATCTTCGAAAAATGTCGCCCATTAAAAAGCAAGCCAGGGGGTATTTACGCCAGTCCCTGTATGAAAGGCTAAGTCTGAACTGACGAAAGCCTCGTTCTACTTTTATGAAACAAATGGAACCAGTGCCTTCGACGAAGAAAAACAATTCAAGAACTGCAACGCACCGTGGTGGTGGTTCCCGGTTGGATGACGTGGTTCCGGTGGAACCGGAAGGTGAAGTCATCGTTGCCGGACTTGCGGTCGATCCGCCAGCCAGCCAATGGAATCTCCTGAAAAAAAAATTATATATATATCGAAGGCGCCCTTCCAAGGATCAGCTAACGCGCGGTTGGACCGTCGCTTGCGGGGAGTGGAGCCTGTTCCTTGGAGTCTCGAGCCCGAAAAGGAGAGCATCCCAAATATGTCTCGCAAACCGAGTGGCCAGCTGAGCTGGCAATCTTGTACCGCAATTCGAAAAGCAAAGTCGAGCACCAAATTGTTATCCCGAAACTTGCACAGGTTTTTATTTCACTTAGAGATGTTAAAATGCTGTGGAATGTACCCCGTCTTCGAAGTTAACCGAGAGTGAAGCGTCTGTTTTATTTCCACCACCCATACCAGGCTGCTCCAATTTGTCGAGATTCGAGAAAAAACTTTGCCTTGGTGAAGCTAACTGCGAATGTGTTCAATCGTTGCACACGTCTGCGAGCAACGCAAACGAAAATAGAAATGCAATTTCAAACACTGAAAGTAAGCGACAACACAATCTACAGATAACAATGCCCCTGCTTCTTAGGACAGGGGGAGGGAAACAGCAGCATATAGTATGAAAGTACTGCAGCTTGTGCAGCGAAACTTCGAGCCGCAGAGCTCAAGGATCACGTGTTCAATACACTCTTGTCCGTTCTAATGTGAATGAGCATCATACCGGCGTGCAGCTTTGTGTCACTACTGCGTGATGCACGTTAAAAAAACCCAGGCTGGTGGCCGTACTGCACTGGCTAAATTTCCTGTCTACGGACCGACTGCTTCCCACTGTATAGACATACGAACACGACAATTACTTTAGCTTGGGAAAGAATGCAGAAGAAATCAACTATGCGTTAAACTTCGTTTTACCTGAAGTCCTAATGTAGCTATGCCACGAGCCAATAGGGTCAATCAAGCGGCTTCAGGTACATAGCGCGACGACATTCGAGCGCCTATTTTATTGTCGAAATGTCAACCACGTTTGTGCCAGACCAGAGACACCAATTTTTTGCTCTTAAAGCACAAACATATTATTGAAGAAAAATTAAACCGAATGTCGTCACGTCACTTTGAAATTAAAAGCAGCGCCGCTCCGCGAAAGTACTGAGGCAAGCTACAAGCGCACAAATCCTGTCAAACTTTGCTGAACCGGATTTTCCTTTACTCTCGCACCTATGCAACTCCTGCGGGGGCAACTAAAAGGATCAGGTTTGTAACGAGCCTCTCTGCGTTAGTGATGTCGCGTTTTTCTTGACGGCGTGTTTCGCCACTTGTGGTGGCAACGGATCAAAACCTGACAGTTTCAGTTGCCCCGCTCTCCACAGGCGTTGAATAGGCACAGGAGAACAAGGAAGCCCGGATCGGTCCAGTTTGACAGGGCTCGCGTCATGGTGCGAGCCCCGTCGTTTTGGCCCTATGTTTTGGCGTCTTTTCGAGCAAACAATTGGCGCCTCCGCGGTGTCACCAAGACGTGGTTGATGTTTAGACAATCAAACTGGCGCTAGAATTCCGTTGCAGTATTGCATCAAATGTGCTGTGACCTCACACTTCCGAGTATATCCGCTTGAGTTTGTTTCAGCCTTTGGTTGTGTTCCGACTTCCAACAATACAATGTTAGGCTTTGTGCAATTCAAACATGATTTCCCTTTCATGTCACAGGCTTCCAAGCATTGGCCTTACAGCTCCTAGATAACAAGCCTGCAGTTATGAATTCTAAACGCCGCCTAAAGAGGCAACACGGGGCATATATTGATCAAGTGCCACATCAGCGTCTGACGAAGACTTGTCCTTAATCGACGAGAACTTGAGCGTCGGCTAAACGCCGTCGCAGCACTTGGGTCCACCCTATGCCCCCGCGTTTGCCGCGTCAGAAGACGTCGAAAATTCGGCACCACGGCCTTATTTATGAGACATCTAGGGGGCTTTAGATGGCAAAAGAGGGCGACGTTTACCAACCTTCGTGCCCTTGTTCTTTATGATGACGTATTTTCCGTCTGGGCAGTGGTCCGAGATCTCTAGGTCCCCCTTGGCGGATGCGGAGACCTGGACGTCGAAGTTTGACTGGTCCTCTCGGTGGGAGAAGGTCCGCTTGCGCTTGGCGCCTTGGAGCAGCGGACTGGTGTACATCTCAGCCCCGCTGGTAGATGCGCCTGAGAGGGACGAAATATCGTTCGCATCTCGCACGGTGTATCGCGTGTGTGCGGCACGGTTAACGCGTCGCTCGCCTCCATTGCCCGCCCTTGACTGCGCTACACGACGAGCGAGTCTGACAAAATCCGTCCCTTCGCACGAAAGGGGAGGGGCTTAAAAGCGAGGAGTCTCATTGCGCACAAGAAAGGAGGCGCAAAACAAATTAAAGGCAGCGTCCTCTGTATGGAGTTTGGTTTTGCGCCGCTCATGCGAGCTGAGCAATGTCGTCGGAACGACCACGACAATGCTGCTTTTTCGCAGTTTACTTTTTACAGACGCTAGTGGTCTTTGCGTTTTACAGTTCACGTTGCTTTCCCAAATATGTGCCTCCTACACTAACAGTTTTGACGACAGCACTTTTGATTCTAAGAAAAAAAAAGAAGGAAAACCGGCGATCGCACGTGTGCGCCTACAATCTCGTGCCGGGATCCTCCGTGAAAAGAGCAGACAACGTAATGTGCAAGCCTTGTCTTCTGGGTGGTGGTGGTGCGGTGCTTGGAAAGAGTCTCCGCAAAGGCGGTTCAAAAGTGGGAAAGAAAATAAGGCGATAGGTTAGGCGAGTTTCTTTCGCTGCGACGAGTCGGCGTTGCTCCCAAAGGCTCGCCAACATAATTTTTACGCATTGCGTAAAGAGAACCCCGACGGGCGAGGTTTCCCTGCTCATTTTGAAGAAGTTCTTTGTGTGTAACAAAGCGTCACCAGCAACGTGGCCTTATCGGGACCACCACATTCCAAAGTGGCCGAAATGCATGGAACCCTTTCCAGTAGATCATTTTTAAGAGTTAATATAATTTTCCACGGGGAAACGTCGCATGCATTTGGGCCGGTTTGGAATGGCTGTTCCCCAAGGGCCCAGATCACTGGCAACGCTTTCAGACAAAGAAGCAAGAAAGCGTCAGTTGAAAGGTCTGCACCTACTTCAGGTTTGTTTCGTACTTGCACAAAGGAAAACACAGATCTATGACATTGTATACAACAAAAAGTTTACAAGCGCCCTAACGATTGTACTAGCAAAAGCCCGGCCAACCTATTGTCTGCTCTCATTTTCCCCCTTCTGTAGCTTTTTTTCTCATTTCATTCGGGATCACTTACTGCAGCGCTTACGCAATTCGCCGCGTTCTGCTCCCATCGCGAACCCCCACCCAGAGATCCTCACATCAACTCTACGGACTCACTGGGCGTAATGTGCAGCCGAGACTCTTCGCCCTCCAGGAGCTCGCGGTACGCGGCAATCTCGAGGTCCAGAGCCGCCTTGATGTCCAGCAGGTCCTGGTACTTCCGCAGCTGGTCCTCGATCTCCGCCCACAACCGGGAGATCTCTTCCTCCCTGGCCATCAGGGCCCGGCCGTGCCACTCCCGCTCCTGGTCCAGCAGACGCTCCAGGTCTCGCACACGGGCCGTCAGGGACAGGTTCTGCGGCGGGAAGACTCAAGTCACGGTCTCTTCCCAATCTTCCTACCAGGAGTCGTCCTGCGATTCCCGCCCTGGCCTGGGGAGCTTCTCGGTCACAACAGCGTGCAAAGTCCACGACATCATGAAATGGTCATTCTCTCTCTCCACCTTAACGTGATGGTCAAGCCGATCCACCTCTCCTCCACACGCTCGAAATGGCGAGAACAAACGAGTGGAAACAAGGTGACTACCAACTAAATCGCATCTCGCACCGTCAATGTTGCACTAAAAAAAAATTATTTCCGCAAAAAACTTTTTTCACAGGCATGTTATAATTTTACTTAAAGGAGCTCTGCAACAGCTTCAGTGCTTTGCTTAAATAATTTGGGAGTTAATGTCTCGACCTGTCTGAAGTAAAGAAAAACCGATTTTGCCTGCATGTCCTAGTTTTTATTTTAAAAATGGACAAAGATGTAGGTTTTCGGCACCTCTCAACTCCTTCACCATCTTCATAGTCACGTGCGCTGTGACGTCAATGGGGTTTGCGCGGGGTTCCGGTTAAGCTTCCTCTTTAGAGCCATCAGTGGACAGCGATAACTCATCCGCTCGCGACCGCGTGACCACGTGCTGGCGGGCGCAGCCAGCGCAACGCGAACAATATGGTGAAAGGAGGAAAGTTTCATCCGGGTCCGGCCATCCCCGTCCGGTTCTGTCCCCCTCCGGCTTCTGGCGGCTGTTCGCGGTAGCAGATGGAGCCGACGGTTTTGTGGACCTAGGATAGATGGCGCCACTAAAACTCCGTATAATAAAAGATTTGTCGATGATACCAGGCTTTTGACACATTTATATTGATGTTGAAACAAGATTTATAAAAAAAAGTTACTTTTTATCGAGCAGGTATTCGCACAACTTGCCATCTTTCTAAAAGACACCCCATTGACGTCATGCCACGTGTTTCTCATGGCCGCCGCTCGCGGCTGCAGGTCGGGGGATATTTTAATTTTTACCTCGCGATTAAGCGGCGGAATCGCAACATTTCGAAGGAAGGAGGAGTGTTTTCTGTTCTTTGTGACAAGATGAACAATGTGAAAAGCAAAAGATGCCAATTCTTTCAACGTTAAAATCGTTGCACAACTCCTTAGACAAAAAACAAAAAACTTTATTTTCAGTTGCCCTTTAAGGTAATAAAAGAAAATTAAATTTTAACAAAGCATTTCGGCCAGTTGTACACGAGTTCAACTTAAACCAATGAGGTTGGTACTACAAGTGTTGGAAAGAATTGCATTAAACTTTAGGGCGAAATAGATCTCAAATCGCACATAGAAAGATATTTATTTTAGAAAAAAATTTGATTAAAACCGAAGGGGCACGACTCGGCAACAAATTTTAGATGCTACATTGTATACGTAAAATATAAATGTACATGCACAATGTATGACGCAGCAGTACGATGGCTAGGATGTATGATACATCGAATCCATCGGACGGATGAATTGACAGATATGGCTGAACCAAGGAATCGGGTGGCGGCTTGCAGCACCTGGCAACGAAATAGCCAAGGTTGTCGACTAAGGTTTCGCCATCCGCTAAACGTAGCGTCGCCGTAATCTTCGGAGCAGCGCGGCACAATTACTGCCGATTTCAGGCTTTTGGCACCGCCAGGCGCAGGAAAAAATGGCGCGGCTGTGCCGCCCCTGGCAAGCTTCCGTGAACTGAAAAACTGGAAAGCGACCTGCTGCACAACAGGAGTCTGCCACATCCACTGCTGCGACACCGCCACGACCATGGAGGGCGACGATGCTACACTTCTACGACGTCTTTGCGTGTAAATAGAGGTCATTTGTTAGGACGTTGTAAAAACACCGGTTGGAGACTTGGTCCAGGCACCGCACCTGAACTATCTTTGAGTACCGAAAATGTTGGGCATCGTTCAACTCTAGACTTAGTAAAAAGCGCAAACGACTGAGAAGAAAGGGACAGGACGGTGGGCTTACTGACACTGTCAATTTAATAGAGCATGTAGAGTAAAACAAGGTGGAAGTGAAAAAGGAGAAGAGAAAGATAGAAATAAACACTCAGCTGCCACTAAGAGAAAATATTTAGTTGTAATGACATGGATGCCGAGAGCACCATATCCCATGTCGGCACCCAGAGGAGAAGAAGAAAATGCGCGCTACAGTCCATGCCAGGCGTCATGAGCAGTTTATTCACTGTGCGGCTAGAAAGTCTATCTTGAAGGCAACAGTGAATCAACTGCTCATTACGCCTGGCATGGACTGTAGCGCGCCGACATGGGATATGTTACTCTCAGTATTCATGCCATTACAACTTTTTCTTAAAGTATATTCTTAAAAAAATGTTTATTTCGATTTTTAAAGCTAGATATTTAGTCTTAATAGCAGCTCAGAGTTTATTTCGAACTTTCTATTGTTTTTCACTTCCACCTTGTCTTTCTCAACACGCTCTATAATATCGACAGTTGTAAGTGACCACTCTGTCCTGTCCCCTTCTCTTAGTCATTTGCGCTTGTTAACTCAAAGTCTAGATGTTCAGCCAACAACCCCCCCCCCCCAATTGATGGGCTAGGGAACCTAACCCGTCAACCCGGAGTTGTCCCCAAACTGTTCAGGACGAGTGCAGCTCATCTGCTTAACCCGCTGATAACGCTTTCCGCATCTCCACATCGTTGAGTGCAGTACACCTCAGAGCTACAACTATGCAGAGTTTCCAACACAGAATTTGTTTCTGTGTTAGAAACTCTACATGGCTCTAACTCTCAGGTGTAGCGCGCTCAATAAACTCGACGAAAACAATTCTTGAGAAACTGTTGCGGAGGAGTGGCACGCAAATTTCCCCGGTAAATTTATGTGAAGAAATTTTCGACACGCAACATAGATTTCTCCTCCAAATTCAGCAGAGAAACTGAGGTCGCACGATTGTCGTGATTTGACCCGACGTCCATCTTCCCGCCAAACATAGTGTGGAAAGTGATGCCGTGTCGTGCCAATTACCTAACTCAATTTAAAGAAGAATTCAATGCAAATCGATTTCGATTTCTTTGTGCTGGAAGTTTGCGCTGGATGCAATCTGTGACCCCAGGTCTGTTTGTACAATAGAGCCTGCGAAATCTATTCTTAACATCCTAACCCCAACGAATTCTGCACAAAAAGGAAGACGTCCCTGACCTGCCACTCGAGCCCCGAGATCTTGGAGTTGAGTCCCTCGAGGCGCGACATGTACGCCCGCATCTCCTCCATCTTGCTGGAGCTGTCGCTGGAGCTCTGATCGAGAAGTCTCTGAAGGTCACGCATCTTGTTCTTGTAGATGTCCTGCGTTTTCTGCCGGTCCAGCTGCATCTGCGACTCGTACTGTTCTCGCAGCGTCATCAGCGTGTCCGCCAGGCGCAGCTCGTAGCCCTCCTTCAGCCACCCGTCGATCTCCGTGATCTCCGTCTGCTTGGCCACGCGCACCTCCTGGAGCTCCTGCATTGGGCAATGGCACCCACGCCAGGGCAAGGGAAGGTTTAGGGGGGGGGGGCATGGATGTCGTTCCCTTGATGTCCTCTGGCATTTTCGTCGTAGTGCCAGATTTGCCTGGAAATTCGTTAAACACGCCAAAAAGATCGCTGAAAAAGTAACCCAAATATTGTGCCAAAATAAAACAAAATTCCGCTATTGAACTTACAATTGTGATCCTCACCTTGTCTTTCAAAGCGAGTCTACTGGCCACAATAAAGAGGTGACCTCAGGGGAAGGCAGGGGTTTGCTCTTTGGGCTGTAGACTATTCCCAACAGATTAGTTTCATGGTGTCAAATGAATGCTTTGGAAGTGGGCTCCAGTCCTTGCCCAGCAGCACAGAAAGAAACGCTGGGCACAGTCAATTCCTAGACTGCCCGCTCAACCTGCAAGCCTGCTTTTCCCCTAATGTCGCGGCATTGAAAAGCGAGGGTATATTTGAATCTTCGTTTTAGAGCCATTTTCATTTGCCGATTTCACAATAGCTATTAGGGGCGAAGCTCCTTGGGGTCTAGCCTTCTCCGTCCGTCCGTCCGGCCGGCGTCTGTGCTCACCTAAAAAGAAAACAATCTTTGCGCAGTCGACAGGATTTGAGTGTGTGTGGGGAGACCCCAATGGATTTCTAGCCCATCGCCTTAACCACTCGGCCATGACTGCGGGACTAGTAGGGGGCTCTGAGATGTGGTAGTAACACAAGAGCTGGGGTTTGTCATGGATGAAACGTTGCATGCAGCAGCTCAACGTCAATACAGGAGGGCGCTGCGGTCAGATGCGTATATAATCGCGTTAAACTTTGCATGCATCGGCTCAACGTTTATAGGCGAGAGGGCGCTGCGGTGAAATGCTCAAATGTGTATATAACTACATTCCATACCATATAGTCTCTTTCTGACATGGACCGTTGACCTAAGCGGTGGAGATGCGTTCCCACGGTTTCTAGCGGATCCAAGCTGATCTGCTAGAAGAACCACTAGCTCCGCATTTCACCGACCATAAAGCAGTAACAATGAAGTCGAAACGCAACCCGCAACTCAGCACTAACTATGAGCAATAAAAAAAATATCAGCACCATCAGCACTACCTATGAACAATAAAATCAATATCATCAGCACCCAGCAGAGCTTCACCCCAATCAATATCATTCACCACGTGGAGATGCAGTCAATTTTCTGAATTTCGCAACACTGAATAGCATGCCGGAAAGGGTAGAGGCCAGCGATTGCAAAAATAGTTACTTAGGGTAGCTAAAAAAAAAATTGCCAGAGTACTTCTTTGAAGGGACACTAAACCTAGGCAGTTTTCTTTTCTACCTGGTTTGGACAGACATGTCTCAAAAACTTTTGTAAAAAAAAAAATTGTTAATATTTATGCTGAGATACGAATCTTGACTCACGGGAAAAACCGAAATTGTACCGCGGTACGATGATAGTGTTTTCACTGAACTAGTATGCGCTCAGTGGTCCAGCAAACTGAGCGCATACAAGCTGGGTACGAATGAACGGCCGATGGAACGCATTGTTCTTTCGCCCGTTTAATTAAGGCATCTTCGATTAATTTGTGAACCACTCTGGCCGATACATCAAGTACCAAGAAATTCCTCGTGAACGTTCACCCAAAATAGAGACAACTTGTGGAAAGATGGGGTGGGCTATCTTGGGGATGCCACAGCAATTTTATCAAGTTAGCGACGAACACCAGGACTATAAAACATGCTACTCGGAAAGCGTCACCACGAATCACGGGTGTGGCAAGTTTGCTTTTCACGATGCAATAAAAACGCGAGAATTCGCTACAAACTTTCTGTCACGGGAAAGGATACCGTAGATCAGTGGTTCTCAACAACTGATGTTTCGCGGACCCCTTGTGGATCGGCGGATATGATAGAGGACCCCATTCGCGGCGAGGGGAAGGAAAAGTTATTGATTAATTATGATAGTGATTTAATAAATGAATGTAACTATAATAAATGAATGTAACTAAGGGCTAGTGTGAAGTGGACTTCTCTTATTGACGTATACACGAGAAAACGTACCCAAAAAATGGAAGGTTTATTCTTAATCTGAAAAAAGACAACTTTTATCGCCAGGAGGCAGGGCTTCGCGGACCACTAGGATGACTTCGCGGACCCCAAAGGGTCCGCGGACCCCCATTTGAGAACCACTGCTGTAGATTGTGGATGCAGCGGATTTGAGTTTCATATTGCAATGACGATGCAGTAGTCTGATACAAACTTGCCCGTCACGGAAACCGGTGTCGTGACGAACACTTGTCTTTTGTGTTTTTCTCTGCATATTGCAGACAAAAAACGAAGAAACTCACTACAAATGCGCTTGCAACACGTACCAATCCCACGGATCGCGCAGTTGATGAGATTCTTGTCAACGGAAATCGCATCGACCGCGCGATCCGCGTGCGGTCGATGGAGTTTTTCCAGTGTTAATATTTAGCTAGAAAAATTGAATGGGCTACCCGTCGGAAGGAGGGTATCTTCACAGGATTTTATGGCATCACATCACTAACATTAGAAAGCAGAACGCTTTTGAAAATACAGTTTTTTGCATACTTTGCCTACTAAATTTACGCAGTTGCCAATGAGACTGAATTTTTTAAATTCACATGCAACGAAATTTTAAGAGCTTTTGCGGGTTCACATGCTCCCCATTGTCTGGAAATTCTAGAAAGGTCCTAGGGAAGCACGCTTACTCTGCGACGTTTCATTCTGATGCTCACCTTCTCGTAGAGGGACTTCCGGAAATCGAGGTCTTCGGAGAGGGTCTTGGCCCTGTTCCGCAGTTCGACGTCCCGCAGAATCTCCGCCTCCAGCTTTTTGCGGAGCTTCTCAAGCTCCTTCGCCATCGCGTCCCGCTCTGCCTCCGGATACTAAAAAGTGGACCAACAAAACAAAATTAAAGGACTTTGCATCCGTTCTGGACCGTGGATATCGCACAGACTGTGGTCACCAACCAAGACGAGTGCTGCCGTTTCCACCTGGTCAGCAACTGTACTCTTATTTAAAAGTTCCAGTTAGACTTCGCCTTTCTTGAAATGTACAATATCTATGTCTGCACAACCAGGAGTCCAGAAAACTGAAAATTTTTCTACACGTAGCTTTGTAATTTGCAAAGAAGATCTCAGAAAGAGGAATATATACATCCATGCACATACTGTCACATAGCTTACGCTAGAAAACTAAGACCATAAAAAAAGATAGCTTGGTTTAGATACTTTGTTCAAGGCAACGAGCGTGCAATAGCACTAATACACAGTTCCTACCTCAATGAGCGGCCCCACTCTTACACAGTAGAGGTGATAGTGAAGTGGGGATGTTACTACACTACTTACTGCTCTACTCCATGTCGAGGGAGGGGGATGTTACCAGAGTAATTACTCCTTTCACTCCTTGAGGAGGGGTACGGTGTTACATCCTTTACTTCCTCCACTCCACACTACTGCATCAAATGAACAGCTGCACTCTGCCCAGACATTTTCTACCACAACGATGCTACCGTGTGACCAATGTCAACACGAGCGACTAAGGTCCGTGCAAGGTTTCCACGCAAGGCTGTCGCTCCAAAATGTTAACACAAACCAAGGCCAGTCCAGAAGTTTGGTAGACGTAGCGCCAGTTACCTCCCACCACAACGAAAAGTAAGCCGTCGGAAAACTCAGCAAGCCGACCACGCAGACAAACGACGGTTAGCGTAAAAACAAGCGTTTGGCCGCTTTCCTTACCTTGAGTTGTGCAAGGGCCTGATTCAGACGTCCCTGGAGGTCAACGTTTTGAGATTCGAGCGATGTGACCTGTTGCTCAGCTGCGGACCACTCGCGTTTTCGTTTGGCGAGTCTGACGGGGTTAAAAAGTTGCAAGCAAATGCACGTCAGTGAACGATGTTAGGCAAAAGGCTGCTTTGCACATTTATGTGTGAAGGCCCGTTCACACACTTGCGCTTGAGTCCGACAAGACCGGTTTTCAAGCCTTTTCCGACGGCTCACGATCGGCTGCATTGCTGCGCATCCGGTCGTAAGCCGTTTCAAGAGGCTTAATTAAAACCCGGTCTTGTCTCAGTCGGTCCAAGTCAAGCGCAAGTGTGTGAACGGGCCTTGAGTGTCAAACAACTGCGTATAACTAGACTGAAGGCTTGAAAGTGTTTGCGTGACCAGACCTACTCCAACTACGAGAAGTGGCTGCTTGCAGGATTGTCGGCATTTCCTCAAACACACGGTTAAAGATGGCTCTGGATAGCGGGCATCACTTCCAAAGAGTATTAATCTGAAATCGGTCATGTTATGCGATAAAAACCGATGGATAGGTGACCACAGTACACAACTCAAAGCTAGTCCAATGAGCACTCAATCGTGTTTGCCTCAGCTTCGCTTCAGATCAATAGGGCTCATTTTAAAAAGAAAATAAATACCAAAACAACTGAAAGTTTATTATGTATACCCAATAAAATGCAATAGCAACGAGCACTTTCTTGCCGCCGACATCGTCAGTGAAGGGGCCACTTCCGGAAACACGATGAAAGCACGACGCTCAACCACACACATAAATAACCGAACGGCAGCATGACGGCATAGCCGCCAGATGCACACTTTCGGATACTTTCGGCTTAGATTGAATTGGGGTCCGCGGCTTCCCCATTTGTTACTAAATCTAGCAGCTCTAACTGGATCTAGCCCAGTTTCGTGCCCTCAGTTCAATCCAAGGCTTGGATTTGTTGGCTGTTCCCTTTGCATCGGGTAGCACTCTACATGGGGTGAGCAGAGCCCGCGCTCCGCTCTAAGCAGAATCCATTGCCTATTTTTCTTCCCCCAAGTCCTCAAGTCTATGCCCAAGATACTCGATGGCATTTCCGGCACATTTTGTCTGACTGGGCTCGCGTTTTTACAATATCCCTGACAAGTCACCGATTTTTCCTAGTAACTAAAATTTCCCCGACAATTCCCGGTCGCTAGACACCCTGAAGTTGTCCAATGAGAGCTGTAGCAAGAACCAGGGCAAGGACACCAAGGAAGATTAGGGAAATATAAGAGAGGATAAAAACGTTGGGAGGGGGCTGTTCAATCTCCCTCATATTTGTTTTTTTTATTTTGGGTAATAATTCACTATTCTAATGTTGTGCACGACAAAACTTTTTTGGGTGAAATCACAATGTTAATTAGAGAGCCTAGTACGAGTACACTTACATGCTTCATTACAAACAGAACTGGAACACTACAAATGAATTCTGAAAGACCATTGAAAGATCAGCCCTTTACTGCATTTGCCACATCTGTCTTTGTTAGGGGCAGATGCAATGGCAAGGAATCAACAACCCCGTTTGTAAGCTGGTAGAGCGCAGGTGTTCGAAAGGTCAGAGCTAGAGTAAAACAAAGGTCAGAAACTTAATAAAAAAACGACAAAGAATCATTGTTGGAACCTCCCAAAACTGGTTTCCATAGATCGAGCAACAGGTTTTGAATTTGTTTTCGTTGGTTACGAAAGAGGCTGGCAGACTCGTAGGCCGAGCAAACGATCGAAGACACCATAACCGCTTCACGGCCAGTGTAGGAATAACCTTACCCACGCAGATAACTTATCGCTAACTGTTAACAAAAGGAATGCCTTGTGATATATAGCACAAAGAGAAGTGCCGATGCGGACCTTACACAAGTCCAGATAATAGCTTCTTTTATTTCTCTTCTGTATGCAGTATGCAATGTGTCATGTACAGTGCTAATCACACTTGTCTATAACGCGCGAGCGTGCGGCTTTCTCCGGGGAGCGCTAGACTGGTGACATTCGCAGAAACTAAGCTAGTCACGTGGCGCAACAAGGAACGGCCCGCTCGAGGGGTGTCCTGCCCACTCTATCAGCTTGATAAGCGATAAAAGTACTTTTTGATACATTTTTGCTTTTTGATGACGACATCGTTGATACGCTATCATGCTTTAGTTTGTTTATTGTTCGAGCAATGATGTTTGTAAAAAGCGTGCGAGCAGCCTTCCGCGTTCGCCGCCAGCTGAAAGAGTGGGGAGGACACCCCTTGAGCGGGCCGTTCCATGTTGCGCCACGTGACTAGCTTAGTTTCCGCGAATGCCACTAGCCTAGCGCTCCCCGGAGAAAGCCGCACGCTCGCGCGTTATAGAAAAGTGTGATTAGCACTGTACAATTTGAGTTTTCCGACAAGTAGGAATTCCACCCACTGGCCACTTCACACGGACATTGCTCCGGAGAAGTTCATCTCAAAACTGCTAGCCAGTCTAGCCATTTCGTAATCGTGGCTGCTACGTAAGGATGGAAATAAAGAAAAATGTAGAAATAAACCTAGAGCTACCACTATTATGTTCTTTGCGCGCATTGCGAAACGTAGACAAACACACAAGAAAAGAAAAAGGAACGTGCTACGCTGAAAAGAGGCGTCGCGGAAATGACACTGACACCATATCCGGTCGAACCACCGCCACCTATCAGTCAAGGTCGGCAAAACCGTCATTCAACAGCCGGCCGACTGAATCATCAATGAAACCTGCACTTTTAAGTGGAGCTGGTACGCTTCCATTCATTCCGTTTGTAACTGACACTACCCGAGGTGTGTGGGCTACAGCGGATTCGTTTCAAGGTAAAAGCTGTCAGGTCATCACAGCTTTTGTACTCGGCTCAAAAGCGGCTTCGAAGAAGCAATTACACAGAACCCGCGATGAACAAAAAAAAAAAAGAAAAGGGGGAGGGGGCGGGAGGAGAACACGACAAGTTGTGACAAATCGTTTATGCCCCGCTCTTTTTTCTTTTTTTTTTTTCTCTAGTTGCTTTAAAGTTCTATCATGTCTAGCTTTAACTAGCTAGCTTGTCATGACTCTGCCTCCAAGGCTCACGAAGCCGGTTAAAGATTTCGCGGTCACAGAAACCGCCCCGCTTCGAAAAGACAGCTCGAGCGACGGACGCCTAGAAGCCAGACAACGAAAGACCGCGAGCCACAGCCGCTCGCCGAAGTCGCATGGTTTAGAAATAGCCTCAAGCAAAAGAAATATGGGCTGGCTACTTACTTCGTTTGCAGGGTCTCTGCCTCTGTCTGCCACTTCTTGGCGTCGAGCTGCAGTTTGGCCCTCTCGTTTGCGGTCAGGTTGATGGTGCGGCGTGCGTCGACAAGCTCACGCTCGAACATGATTTTAACGCTGACGACTTCCCGGGTGCGGGTCTCCTCGCTCGTCATCTGTTTGGTCAGCTTGCTGTTTTCCGACTCTAGGTGACGCACGCGGTCGATGTACGCAGCCAGCCGGCCGTTGAGGTGGGCCAGCTCGTTCTTCTCCTGAATCCTCGAAACCCTGGACGCCGAGAGCGGCGAGCGCGAGCGTTCGCGGCTCCCGCCGGCGTTGGTGTCCGACGAGCGAGATGTCCGAGGCGACACCGGGTTCGCCGGGCTGTCCGCGCGGTCTTGCTGCGAAACGTACTGGGACGACGGCGCCGTCGTCGTGGTCGTCACGACTTGTTTGCGGACGCTCCGCGACGCCATTTCGGAGTTTGTGCGGACGTGCGAGAGGCCAACTGTTCCTGCAAACTTCGTCAGTTGAAGTGCTGTCCCTCGCAATGTGTTCGCGAGATGGCGGAGTGCCGCCTAGAAGGGCCACGTGACCTGTTGCGCCAATCAATGGGTTAGTTTCGTATTCCGTGTATGCTCCATTTGCTGATTGGCTCTCAATTTTTAGCAGATCATTGTAGGGGTGTGCGGACCGAATCGAATAGCGCTGCGATTCGAACGAGACATGCATCGCATCTGGTATACCAAATAACGCAGTGTCATTCGCAGCTTCAACATGCTGCATGTTAACAGAAACGGTTCTCCTGGTTCTTTTGTCTTGCGCTGTGAAAGCTACGAATGATGCAGCGCTATTCGATTTGATACTAGCGTCTTGCACCGCCACCGCCACCGCTGACGTGGTGTATCGGTGAGGCGGATTTAAAAATGACGTACTAACCTCAGATCAGAACGCAATTATGCACGTCACTTACGGCTCGAGTTTCAATGCAGCAATGGGCCTTTTCGGCAAATATTGGGCGCCATTTATCGGCAAGCAGGAGAAACGTTTTTGGTGGCCTGCCTTGCTTCCGCTTCTGCCCGCTCTAAGCTATGTTTGCTGTCTGAACGCGGGCGCTAGACGCGCTCAGCGTTTGTTGTTCCTCTACCCAACGCGATCGACGAGTACACTTTATTTTTTTTTCAATTAATGTGTTTATTACGGACGACTTCGTACGTTTGTAGATTTTTTTCCGAATGACTTAACAACTCGTACTCGCGCTCGGGAACAAGACAGAAACAAAAGTGTAGGCACATGGCCCGGATTTTGTTGGGGGGGGGGGGGGGGGGGGGTCTTTCTTTTTTTGCGCACTGCAGATATGAAAACTGTAATGGAACACTACATTAACGTATTTATAGAGTGGAAACCGATGCTTACTTAAATATGAATCAATTTTTTGTAATCGATATTTATTGAAAACCTGGTAACAGCAGTGCAAGAGGACGTCGTCAATAATCTGGCTCTTGTGACAAAATTGGACACCGCGTAAAACCTTATGTCTCGGTATAAACCTAAGCTAATCAGTACTTTGTAGGGAAACCCTTTGCATCGATCACCGGTTGGCACCGACGGTGCTTGGAATTCAGGAAATCGTCAATGTTGGCACAAGGGGTCGGTTGTTCAGCCGTTTTTTAGCCACCAGGGGTTGAAACCCGACCCCTGGTGGCTAAAAAGGCTGCATTATGGTGCACCATATCAAAACAAAATATAATTGGCTATTCACTAGACGTCGAGCAATACTTCTGTAAAAGAAACAAAATATCATATCTTTTTGTTCACTATTGTATATGGGGAATGAGATAAGATTGACAAGTGCAACTGTATTAACATTGTCAACGAAGAGGGGAGAGAGCATAGGCTTAGACTACGGGGGGCATCGGGGCTCGTGCCCCCCCCCCCCCCCTCCTGTTGACATCCTAGGGGAGGGGGGGCACAACCCCCCCTTTTTCCCCCGGGTTATGATCCTTACCGAGACGCTGTTTACGTGCCATATAACGAGCTTCTAGTAGTGGCATGTAAACAAAATAACGCACACAGTGACGGACATATGGCGATATACATACGCTCTAAATTGTACCTAAAAATAAACTATTGATAGTTGCCGGTGTAAAAAAAAATTGCGCGGAAAAGCATCCCCTCCCCCCCCCCCCCCCCCTCCCGCCCCCGGGAAAGTGGAAAGTCTACGCCGCTGGGAGAGAGTGATTTTTGAATCTTAAAGAACGGCGGTGTCTTTAGATTTTGCGCGATGACGAGTGAGATCAGTTTTTAAAGGGGGCCCTGCAATCATATTTCCGCGTCTACCTTTTTTGCGGTTTCCACGTCGCTTGGGGTTCGGGCAAGCCAGCGGGCGCGGTGAAAGTAACTAAATTTCAGTGCGTCATATTTTAACAGGACGACGCGGAAACCTCCTCTACCTACGGGGCGACCTGCGGTGCCGAAAGCGCGCAATATGTGACGACATCGTGACGTTTTAAGTCCTGGCCTTCCTACTGGTCTTCCTACCGTTAGAAACTTTTTAGTCAAAATACAAAATATAAGTGGCGAGAGCCGTTTCGATTATTTATAAGAGTAGTTTCTGTTCATGTTCAGTATTTTAGATAAGAAAAAAAAACGAATGCAGTTTATAAAGTATGGAAACAAGAAATGACCCGTCGACATATCCGCCACCAAGTGGTGGAAAAGCGGCGCATACTAGGAAGGTGTAGTGGGATCAGGCACCAACGAACGGCGAGCGTAGAAAGGTCCCGGATGTGTGCGGCGGGGCTGCAGTCAAAGATGCGACCGGTTCCGATCGTTCCGAGTTTCGAAGGCCTTCGGCGACCAGCTTTGGTTTGCGGTTTGGCCCTTTGGAGGTATGGCAGCGCGAAGTGGCTCCCGTTCTGAACTGATCTTTACCCCGTGTTTGCTGTCGTTTGTGGCCAACGAAGTGTGATGCCAAATTAGTGTTTAATCCCGCAGCAAATGCAATGCGAGCCGCCCTGGCTTCCCGCTTCATACAGCCTATCCAGAACATGCTTCAGTGGCGCCCTCTCGAGCCGTCGACACAGAGTGCGGAAGCCTTTGAGCACTTGCTAAGCTCGCTCCCCCTCCTCTAGTTCATGGCCACTCACGCAACCAAGGACCTCATAAAGGAGGTAGTTTGTTTTTGCTTGTTTTTGTAATTTTAATTTGCCTATAACTTTTAAAATAAAGCGAAATTCGAGAAAAGAAAAGTTTCATCAAGTTACTACGTTCAGTGCGCTAAGGTTCGGAGCAAATTAAAAACCACTAAAAAAGTCCTTGCAGGGCTCCTTTAAAACTCTCACTGCGAAGTGCGCTGCTGCGCACTTCGCAGAGCAGGAAGCCTGTTCTGCGAACATATCTTGATCGAATGACGTTTTGTGAATGTTTGGGAGTAGTTACCGAAAACCGGAGTCAGCGCTTTCTCCGCTTCGCCGATTGCAGAACGGACTGCCGTTTACGCCTTTAGCATGATCGCGTAGCTGCCCGCGCGACATGTTTGCTCTATTTGGACCCGTGTCTATGCGGTTCCAACAGTCTTCTCAAGAAATAATTAAAAAAAATGTACTTACCCTACGAGAAAAGGTTATCCATGTGGCGTCTATCTCTGTTCTATGCAAAAGTGAAGAGCATATTCAATCGACAAGAACGAGCATCATCTGGCGACGAGCAACTGTGTACGACACCGGTCAAAGTACAGGCAGCTTGAACGAAAAAAAACATTCCTGGGACACCATAATCGTCTTCAACACGGCGACGAGGGGACTGGAAGCAAGCTGATCACCAAAATTAGGTCAGGGGAGGGAAGAGAGGAGGTCCCAGCATAAAGAAAGATATGGGGGGGGGGGAGGCATTGCCCCCCCCCCCCCCCCGGGCTGCGTGCCTGCAAAAGCGTCAGGAACCAAATGGTCCGATGTCATCACCCTAAGCAAAGCGCACATGAAGGCGTTCCAAGCAACAGCCCAGCGTGCGCTGCTCCACAGCCCGGCAGGCGCGTGTGCGTCGCCAGAGAAAGCGAGGAAAACACGCGCCATACGCTACGCACAAGCTTTCTAGATGGTACCTTCCTGAGGCTTTCTTTTCAGGATGTGTAGACCGTACAGCTAATAAAGAGCTTCTGTCAGGTGGGCGAAGAAGAGTCAGCTACAAAGCAACCCTGAAGTTCCTGCCGAAGAACCGGGCTTCGTAATTGCAAGCTTTTAACATTTTCTTCCTTTTTAATGAAGTGGTAACGGTCGGGCCATTTATTCGATCGAATTGCCAGGCTTTTTAACCTTCAATATTTTCCTCCGTCATGGCCACATTTGTTTGCATGCATGCGCACTGTGTTTCTAGAGTTCTTACAGTGTTCACAGTCTTGTGTGTGGAACTGCGAAAGAAAGTTATTTATAAACTTCGTGCATCTTTCTTTTTTCGATTCTGAAAAGTGTTTAATAGGATTTAGGACTATTACGGGTAAAACGTCTAATTAGGTTGTGAGATCTTCTGAAAGCAGTTTCTTTTTAGGAATGATAAGAAAAATTCACAAAAGTAAACGTTACAGTCATTGCAGGTATCTTTCCTAAGGACCAAGGTAAAATAAGCACACGTCACTTCAGTCACTCAAAACAGCTCTCTAGAGGAATGATTATTTATCTTGAGTCTGCTTCCTGGTTCTTTTAATGGGATCATAATGACTGCATGTATGTCACCTTGCTCCTTGCTTGATCGTTGGATCTGCGCCGAAAAGGTAAAAAAGGTCGCAAGTCGCGAAGCGAAACTAAACTCGGAGTACGCCGCGACGCGCAGCAACGAAGTCCGGGCAATCGCCATCCAAAGAGCGCCACCGTGGCCAAATGAGGTAACACTGGGACGGCTCAAATCGGTAGTGCCGCGGCGTACCGTTGCGAGATTACGTTATTACCAACTCCGAGCGTGTGTTGCCGCGCGCTACACTACCGACTGTTTTAAAAATTTATCACATGTTCAATATATAAATGTGCATACGTGTGTGGTTTTGTCGTTCTAGCATTAGACAGTTTTAGTAGGTGCCTTCCTCGATAGGTAGAGACAGCTCAAAACGGGAGCTGCTGAACAAAATTGAACGTCCTGATATTACGGTAAACCAAAGGCAGTTCTCTCTTTTTTTTATATAGATTGTTTGCGCGCGCTTTAAGATAACAAAACCAAAAACTTCGTCGAGCTTCCCTCCTCTACAAAAGCGGAACTAAAAGCGCCCCCTCCCTCTTCCCCTTACCCACCCTTTTTTACAGCCCCCGCAAAGAAAAGTCGACCAGTGTTGCGGATTTGCCACTACGGAGTTGAAATGATTCCGGAATCTTTCCAAATTTTCGCGACCCCGGAATGGAATGGGAATGGAATTGCGGCAACGTTGAGGGAAATGGAATGGGAAGGGAATTATATGCCTTTTGCCCGGAATAGAAGGGGAATGGAATGAATTCGGTTCTTCTATTCATATATTTTTAGTGTTTACGGTCAGCGAAATTGAGCCAGTCAGCGAGCCAGTTGCTCAGAAATAAAATGAACTGGTGGGAAACAGCTAACCCGCGTGGAGCGCTAAGAGACTTATACGCAAAAAAAAAAATGCAATACAGAAAAAAAAAAGCGTCAAAGCAAAAAGCAGAGGGTGGAGGGGGGAGGGGGGGGGGGCGTGGCGGTGGCGCCTTTCGCGCAGGCGATGGTCTTTACAGGCGCCGTTCACACTCTTGCAACCGAGTACGACCGAGACAGACCAGAGCGGTTTTAAGCCTCTTGCTTAAGGGACCATGAAATGACTTTTTTACTTTTTCCAGATAACTTTTACATTAAACCGTCAATGTTCACTGAATGCCGAACAGGCATCCGTTTTCGTCTCGGTTTATTAACTTCTACACAAAAAATTAATGAAATATCGACTTTTTCTTGACCGCAAAACAAGCCGTGACGTACGCTATTTCCGGAACCGGAACTTCTCTCGGCAGTAGGAGATGGGAGCATTAGCGGCGACGAGTTGGGGTGCGCCGGTAGGTTTTACTGTATTCGCGCTGTTGGTAAGCGCTTCGGGACCGATCTTTTACGATTGCAACTCGATACTGACGCGACACTCGGCAAAGAAAGGTTGGACCGGTATTGCACGTATACCTCTCACGAACTGTTACAGCTCGACAGTGACGTGCAGTCTGTCAGGATAAAAATGGCATACCAATAACAAAGTGTACATACCGTGTTACGAAGGTAATCCACACAGCGTTTATTTCAGCTCTATATCACACAAAACAAGAAGAGAGAATCGACGAGGGTCCCTTTTCGACGAGTGTTCGTCAACACTGCCTCGGAAAACAAGGGGAAGAGATTGACCTCACCTCTTAACGTAAAATTGAGGTCAGCGATCAAACTATTATACGGGAAGGGTCCACAAGGGTACCCCACAAGGGTAGCGCGGGCATATTCCATTCAGCAGGCCAGCCGGTCGCAGGCAGACCGACGGTCTTGCGACGAAGCAACGCTGCGCCGAGTCGGAGTGCCTGCTAGGCCTATATTCTGAGAGCTTCGTCGGAGCGCGATTCGCGGCTGTTGTCGCTCATTTCGGGTGTTTGAGGATCCAGCGTTCTTGTTCGTCGTGGTCTGTTTTAAGTACATTTTTTTCTTGCTGATTGAAGTCGGCACGCGCGAGATGAACACGTAGAAAAATAAACGTTCAGTCAGTCAGAGTTTTGAGAGGAAGGCCCTGCCAGCCGGCAGTCGGCCCTGCCAGCCCTGCCCTACTGCGCACGCGCAGTAGTTGCTTCGTTTACCACACGATAGATGGCGCTTGGCTCTCAGCATTATCAATGTTGTATCTGAGAGGATTGGATACAACAAAATGTTGTATCTGAGAGGATTGGAGGATAGACTAGAGAAGAGTGGGCTTGGGTTCAACCTTTCTTACAGTAAGCTAGGCCAAAAAATTCAGCAATCCTTACCGGGATTGATGTATGCGGATGATATTGTACTAATGGCTAACAACAGGACAGAGTTGCAGGAATTAATGAGCATCTGTGGTAGGGAAGGAGAGGAATTAGGTTTAGAATTCAGTAGCGAAAAATCGGCAGTCATGATTTTTAACGAGGATGAAGTTGAGAGGCTGAAGATACAGAATATTACAGTTGAGAGAGCTAGTAAATACAAGTATCTAGGAGTATGGATATGTGATGGTGCAGAATATCTCAGAGACCATGAAAAGTATATAATAGGTAAGGGCAACAGAAATGCAGCTGTAATGAAAAATAGAGCACTTTGGAATTACAACAGGTATGAGGTGGTGAGAGAGATTTGGAAAGGGGTCATGGTGCCTGGCTTGACATTTGGAAACGCAGTGCTATGCATGAAATCCGAAGTGCATGCGAAACTAGAAATAAAACAGCGCGGAGTAGGTAGACTGGCTTTGGGGGCGCATTGCAAAACGCCAAACCAGGGAGTACAAGGAGACATGGGATGGGCATCATTTGAGAGCAGGGAAGCGGTGAGCAAGGTAGAATTTGAGGATAGGTTGAGGCTAATGGATGGGGAGCAATGGGCACGAAAGGTTTTCAGCTATTTATACATGAGGAGTGTAGACACAAAGTGGAGACAGCGCACTAGGAAATTAAGAGGAAAGTTTTTGGGCTATAGCGAAGATACGGAAGAGCAAGTCTCAGTTAAGAAGAAAGTTAAGGCCACAGAAAGGGATCGGTGGCTAGAGGGAATGCAGACAAAGACTGCTCTGGAAAGCTATAGATTAAACAAAAGAGTTATTGCCAAAGAAAGCATTTATGACAATTCTAGGGGAAGCTCATTGCTGTTTGAGGCAAGAACGGGTGTTCTGCGAACCAGAACATACAGAGTGAAGTACCAGGAAATGGATACAGTGTGCATTGCTTGTGGAGAGGAGGACGAGACGGCTGAGCACTTGATACTCTACTGCAAAGGGCTTCACCCTATGCCTACCGAAGACAACATAGATTTAATAAAGTCATTGGGTTTTAGAGACAGCGAAGGGAGAGTGGATTTCAAGACTGTAGAGATTACCAAGCAAAGATTAAGTGAATGGTGGCAGAAATCGAGAGAAAACTAGGTATTTTCTTATTCACTGATGGCAAGGGGGTTTCATAGCCTCACTTTCTTTGCACTGCGGAGTGAATATAGATTTCACATTTAAATATTCTAAGCTTAAATGGTAAAACAAAATGGCTAGGTGGCGTAAGCTACCGCCCGATCCAAAGGGCTCAGCCGTATTCATCCATCCATCCATCCTATCAAATTTGGCAATTTTCGCCACACATCTCTAATTATGCTACAAAATGTGGGTCTGAATATTATTTAACAAAACTTTTAGGAAACATTCGCCGGCTATTTATTGTTTACGATCGCGGTGCTGGTGAGGTAGGCTCTTACCCAACAGGTGACGTGGATTCGGCTGACGTGCTCCATTTCTGCGGATGCATCGTAGTGAAAAGGCAGAGCTTTTGAAGGAAAGAAGTCGCAAAAGAGTCCAGTTTTCTTTTAAAAGTTCTATAGCAAATAATTTTTTTTGGCTCCCTAGTTTTGTGTTTTTGTGTTTCTTTTCACACCTTTTACGACGTGCGGTGGATGAAATTAGATTTTAAAATCATTTCATGGTCCCTTTAAGGGCGGTTCAAACAGACCCGGAATACGGAACCCGGGAGCCGGAACCCGCACTGACGTAATCACTTCCGGCTCCCGTATATGGGAGCTGAAGTCACGGTTTGCTTTGAACGGCGCGCTCGGCGCGCGGCACGGGCCCCCGTATATACGGGAGCTGACGTCACAGCGGCTCCCCAGGCAACCAATCAGCGGCTGTCGTCAAGCCGGGTCGTCGCCCGGGTGGCCCGGGCAGCCCGGGCGCGCGGCAAGCGCGGCCGGCGCGGCACTCGCTTTGTTTCGTGATGGCGTCGTCTCGGCAGGATCCCGGCTACGAAGCTCGAATTGCGAAGCTCGAATTGCCTCACTTATGAACCTTTGTGTAGTGAGGTGCGTCGCAAATGCAAGAACTATCAACTGGCGTCGGCTGACTACTTTCGCGGCTGCGTGTGAGCAGTACTACGGAGCGTGAAGAAAAAGAAGAAGCGAAAGGCCGTCCGCGAGCTCCTGAAGCGTCGAAAAACGCTCGTATGCCACCATCGTGAGACAGATGTTCGTAGACCCCGACGGCCGGGAATTTTTCGAGTGCTTCCGAATGTCACGAGCCAGGTAGGGTGTGCTGCTTGTTATTTTGGATTATTTTCATGTTATATATCAAGTGGCGCTCCACATGGGCCCGCGCGTCGCTCGCAGGAATACTCACCTGGAGCGTGCGCTCCCGCAGTGAAAGCACGTTTATATCATTTTTAACGCGGCAGGATCACGAGAGCAGTTTTCGTAACAGTCATATGCTTGTTAACTTTTACGGCGTCTGTGCTATAAAAAAATAGCAATGGCATGCACATGTGCAGCTCGTATGACACACTCCTTCGGTCCACTAAATCTGGTCACGGTGTTGTGCTCCTTTGAGTGCATGTATGAGGGAAGCCCGTTGTGCTTCCTTGTTCTTTTTCTGCTAGCTGGAATGTGTGCTTACAAGCTGCTTATGAGTGAGTTCTGCACGAAAGCTCGCGCTGCAGAACCCAGGGATCTTGGGTTTAATCCCCACCCCCGCCCGTTTCGATCTGGATGAGTATCGTACCAGCAGACGTTCGTGTTTCACTACTACGTGACGGGTGTTAAAGACCCTGGGTTAGCGGTCGTACAGTACTGCCTAAAAACTGGTCTACAGCGCGTACCAGTGTCGTTGACCTTTTTAAGTGTCGGATGTAGCTCGCACGCACAATGGTTGCAGCTGGGCACGTAGCCAGGATTTTTTTTCGGGGGGGAGGAGATTTTGTCAGTCGCAGAGTGCCCGACCCTTACAAAAATGAACAATGAGTTTCAATTGAGCTTCTAATGTGTTTTTATAGAGTCAAATGAAACTCATAAGAAACTCATCGTTAAATGAGTTTTATCATTACCCACTCCATATCTATTCTTTTGAATTTACTCATTACAAATTCAAGTGAGGTTTATCGTTACCCAATCAATAGCGATACTTTTGTGTTTACTCATTACACATTGAAATGAGTGTTATCAAATAAAAAATCAATAAATCTAGTCCCTACTGCATTGCACCCGAAGCAAATAGCGCGTCGGTGCTAGTTCTGATATACAGATTTATTTCCTGTGCTTAAAATAATAACTGTATTCACCCTCTTTTACTGTTAAAGGCTTATTCAAACGATGTATGTCTTCAACGCGCCACAGTTTAGCGAAACCAAGATTTCGCGAAATCGGCCTGCTCACACGTGGAGTTTGACGCGCGAAACCTGTGACGTATTGACTCACGAGAATTTCGCCAAACCTTGTCTGCACCGGGAATATTAAGCGTCTCGCATCAAAATGATATGAAGTACGCACAGTGTGAAGGGACTGCCTGTTTTATTAATGCCACTCAATGAATTTCGTCAGATTCGGCTCAACGGGTTTACTAGTTCTGCCAAACCCGGGAAAACCCGCGAGATGATCTCGAAGCATTTCGGACATTTTTGCACCGCTAATAAAGAACGTTATCCCCAGTCACCATGTTTATATACAGTGCTTGCACCCGCCGCGACTGTTGACGAATCTGCACCGCGCCCCCAATCCGCACTGTAGGCGCCGTTAACACACCTGCAACCGAGCAGGACCAAGACTCGTCGCCCGTATGTCGCTCGACATGTTTGTTTTGTTTTCTTTCGGCTTCGGCTCGGATACGGAATCGGCCAAAAATCAGACTCCTCCAAAAGCTCGCTCCTCCTCGTAGGTCAGACGTCATAGCGAAGTCGAGCGGCCATTGGCAGCGTCCGCGTTTCTCCTTCGGGAGATTGACGGCCATTGGTGAGGTTTCAGCGAAAAATTGCTCCAGAAGCGAGAAACACGCGCCACTTTTTTCGAAGGCGCGCCACTTTTTCGGTTGCGTTCAGACGGGGAATCTATTTCCCGAAACCTAGTTTCGCGACACAAGATTCGCCAACAAGATGCATCATGTGAACAGATCTATTTACGGCGCCCCTCTATCGCGATTTGGTCAGTTTCGGTTTCAGTATTGTAATTTTTACTGGTTTCGGTTACATATTTTAAGGATCGCGTCTTCGACGCCACATCGGTAGCGACACCAGTTCTTTGTATTTTCCTTTTTCTGGCATGGTTTCGCCATTTTTGCGACCGTTAGGTGTTTCGCCGTTTCGCGGTATCGAAATGCCTTTACAAATGGAAATGTACTAATTTAATCAAGTTTATCTATCTGTGAAGTTTTCTCTTGTGATGATTATGTTCAAGAAGAGCGCGGAAGGCCGACGACGCAACAGAACGAGCAACTCAACGCAGTTGGTAAGTGTACTTCTTTGTTTGCATTGTACGCGTTGAACGAGAAGTGAACATTATGGAGTTTTAGAATAATCTCGTGGCTGCTGTGCATGCGCAGACCCAAAACAAGCTTCGGACTCGAGCTTTGGGGCCCCTTATTTTTCGATAATAGCGTGGGCGGCGTACCGCAAAAGGCGGCGCCCACGACATCTCCGTTGAATGCGTCTTCGACGCCGTCGCCCGCTTGGGAACTGCGTGAGTCGCACTCGGCGACCGCGGTCGGTATGGTCGACGCGTATTGAAAACGCCACGGATCGCTGGATTCACAGCTCAAAGCTATCGAGGCGCGTGTACTTACGATCGCGGCAGACATGTAAGCATGCCTGGGTAGTGAATTGTCTGGGCTTCGTAAGTACAACAGAGCAGCTTGGCAGCGACAAAAACAAAACATGCAGCATTGAGTGTAAAAAAACTACTAAAATGTTACTCTGGACAAAAAGCTTGCTTAATTTTCAAGATAAAACGTTCTAACTTTCAAATAAAAGCTGCCGCGACATCTTGGTGGCGTTTTAAGCGCGAGATGCTTGCGCTTGGGGGGGGGTCCCCTTCAGAGAAACGCTATTCTAAAACTCTTCGCCGCAATCCTCGCTATTTTGGCGTCCGTAACGCGCGGTAAAGTAGCACCCGATATTCTAAAACTCCCTATTTTCTCGTTAAGCTAGAATGTTTTTTTTTTCTTTTTTTAACTAGTTGGGTTTGCTTTATCTGTCCTAATGTTTGGATCGATGTGTAGCGTAATGAAAAGTTGCCACTCATTCTGTGTATGGTCCGAGAAAGTGTAGCTCATGTCAACAGAGCACGTATTGAATTCGTAATGCTACTTTCGGTCCGTTGCTTTAGGAAATGTCTTATTGGTCTAGCAGTGTACTGATGTCTTTCAACTATAAATTGATTACATTGATAATACTTCATTACATTTCCGAAATTAGACTTCCTTGGAATTCGGTTCATGCAGAGACAATATTCCTTTTCAGTCAAAATGGTTGAAGAGGATATCCATCTTTTGTTTTGAAGTTGTGGAAGTGGACTAAATTGTACTGTTAGGACAAACTTCGGTCCCCTGGCTTTCTAGAATTGAACTGGGTTTACATTTGTCGGTAAGCACTTTTGATAAAGCAGTTGTTCCTTTTTCCTCTTTTTTTTCTCTTTCATTTTGCAATTGTGATGTGATCAAGCCGAGGGCCGCAGTTATTCCCAAATGAAGCAGCAGCAGTGTGTTCCCAGCTTGCGTCACTTCGATTCATTTCAAGGCATGCCACGAAATGAATGCCCCTGTTCATACACCGCTGGAATTGGGACTGACTTCAAAATGCAGTTCGACACAGTGTTTAAGCGGTATGAAACGTCTGTTGAATGATTTATGCGGTTGTCACAGGTTCGTGGTTGGTCAACCCGAAACGCTTGTCTTCCTCTTCCCATTGGTTTGAAGCTCGGCCGGCATTATACTTTTTCATACTTAGCGTGCAACGCTGTCAAAGCTACTGGCGCGAGTGCGTGGCTTCATCTACGGTTTTGCTTGTGCGAGAAGGCGTGCAAATGATCAACAAGACCAAGCCCCACGCTCGCGCCAGTAGCTTTGACAGCGTTGCACCTTAAGTATGAAAAGGAGTATAGTCTCATCCGAGCTCAAGCCTTTGCCGCTCAGGTAAACATGTGCGAGGATTGTAATTGACTCTGCCCCCAAACCACCTATAAACAGACCAAAATGACAAAAAAGACAAAATTTGTGACAGCGGTGTTCGAGAGAAACTGCAGACGTTTAATTACCCTGCCTGAAACTTTGCAAACATTTCAGTGTGGTTGCACCTGTGTGGGCGAGGT